ACAACTTTACCCCCAGACCGCCTCGTAGCACGATTACTCGTAGTGCGGGGTCTCGCTGCTCTTGGTCTGGCTGCTCCCCCTTGACCTTCCTGGCGTGGTTGTACCTTGTGGAACGAAGTTCCAGTGTAGCCCGCGGGATCATTGCAGCACTCAAGCCCGACCACCACCATCCATTAGGCCATTAGGCGCGCTGAAATCATGGGACATAACTGAACACATCGAATGTATCATTCTCTTGTAGAATATTTTCCTGAAAATTCGACAGGCGGTGTCGCTACATTAATCTATAGAGATGGTTAAAGCGCTAGTACAGCCACCTACGTCCTTTTGATCGTCTCACCAAGTGTCGAAATTTGTGCGGTCCATCGTATAAGACCACCCTTGAGCACTTCTGGAGCGGCACAGTATATTTCTAACTGAATGGTTTGGAGTTCACTAGTAGAACTCGTCCGACTAGCCTGCTCAAATGCGACATCCTAACTAGGGACTTCAACGCTAATGTAAAAGTAAACATCCTTTACTTTGGTTTCTCAAGGGCCTTCTACAGAGTGCAGCACTAAATCCCTCTGTACGAGCTAGATATCTTCTAAACGGAGTCCAGTTTTACTTAGAGCATTGCAGCAAAATATAAAGGTCATTACCAGCAAAATCAGGTGCATTGGTCATTGCCGTCTTCCTGCAAGAGGACCCTGAGACGGGCCACATCAATGGTTGGAGACATTGTCAGACGTGGCCCAGTCGTGCTATCAATAGCGCTCGTTCATTCAAGTTATTGCCTTCAATGCTTAGCTCCCTTCCAAATCCCTCCACTTAACAGTTCACTGACAGTGCTGCATTTGCGCACGAACTCATCAGCTCGCCTCCAATGCGCAGCTATCTACTCCACCTCCCCAAATCACGGGTGAATGAAACTGTGGCAGCTACAACCACTGTATAAGTACGCGGTTCGTACCACTGACTGATGATGAGAGCACTTCATTGTTATCTGCATCATTTCAAGACCTCTGCTATTCTCCGCTGTGGCACGTCAGGGGTCAGTGCTGAACCTTGCCATCCCTGGCATCCTTCATTGACTTTTCCGCGTTTCTGCGTTTCACATGGCAAATGTTTGCGGACAACACTAGGTTACGAAGAGTCACCCGTTATCCCGAAGTAGTCACTCTGAACCAACTTTTGGACAACGTACAGTTTGTTGCCTACTTCCCCTACACCGCTCCAGCTTCCGTGCACACATCCTGGACCCACCGACTAATGTCCTGAATGATATGGGAAGTGTGGTTCAGCACCATAAAGCCCGTTGTATGGCTAGCAAATACCTGGAACTCTTAGACCCGGCTGCGGGCTATTTGAAAGCAGCCTACTGAGCCTCGCAATCATACCGCTGCATCAGACTACACGTCGAATATGCCATTTGAAATTGAGACTATTGTTTTAAGCGTGACAGCAAGCCGTTGGAAAGAACCCAACAACATCCGTAAATGGGTGCCAATTGTCAGAATACCATCTGAGAGCGAATCACTAGTATAAAAACTGTGCATACAAGAAGGCAAGTGGTATTTTCCATCTTGCCTTCCAAATTTTGAAAATTCGGGACCACCTGTGCCGCCATCTACTTCCTTTTTGGTATGAACCTTTCTCTAAATAAACCAGATTAAAACCCAGAGTAATGATGGCGGACGAAACCACCAAGTTGAGATGAAATAATATAAATCTTTCAGCTGTAACACCCTTTCTATACCTAGCTGCCACGCCAAAAGGAGGAAGCACGAGGGCTAGGTTACTACCAGGTTGACAAAGCCTAGACGGGAGAAGTCGAGAGGCAGAGGTCGGTTGGAACCATGAAACTTCCGGTCAGTAAATTCGCGCTCTAACAACTGAACCATCTCGTTTACTGGGATGAGAATTGTTCGAAACCAAAATTCTAGAAATATTGTCAACGTCCTACGCGAGAATAACGCCATTGAAACCGCACTTAGCGTTGCTTGTGATACAAAATATGTCAAGCTCATCTCGATATTACATCTGCTCTGATAAGATGGTTAGTTTTGCTGGAGACAACACAAAATCCACTAGTCTGTCCGCAGTCGATACGTTTTTCCGACAACAACATAAAGGTTTTCCGTAGCTTAATTGCTGCTTTTGCAATAGAGATTACTTAGAAAGATACATAGTCTTTGTATGGTGGTGAATATGTGTTTTCACCTTGTAATTCTGATGAATTTACCCTTAAATGATAATCAAGTCATCCACAGCAGTTGTCTACATATGCAGTGACGTTATACAAACATACAGCTGAAGTGGACAACAGAAAAATATCCGTAGGTAAGTGATCCTATAAGATCATAGTTCAGTACTCCTTAGACTTTTGGGATACGGCCGGTCAAGAACGTTTTCAGAGTATGCATGCTTCGTACTACTACCAAGCACATGCTTGTATTTTCGTATTTGACGTAACGCGAAAGATAACCTACAAAAATCTCCCAAAATGGTATGAAGAACTGCGTCAATACCGACCAGATATACCGTGTTTGTGCATTGCAAACAAAATAGACGGTAATCCCCTTATGAGGGCGCTCATATTCCTACCACTTTTAGCTGACATGACAATGACCAATAAGACATTCAATTTTGCCAAAAAGAACAAAATGGCGTTGTACTTCGTTTCTGCCTCCAACGGAACCAATGTCGTACGCGCTTTTCGGGATGCGATTCGTGCGGCGGTGGCATACAAAGAGTCCGCCACTGACATCATGGATCAAATTATGGAAGAACTGGAGGTGAGTCGGTTGTGATATAAGTCAAAATGGTGTTCTCAGTGTTGCTTCTTGAGTGTATTGCATAGGCGTCCGCAAAGTTTTTAAGGTGAAAAAAACATTTCTCTTGCAGAAACTTTTGGCAGTACTTCTTGCCAGCAAAAAGATGTATCCCAGGAAGGTGTTTTTTTTTTGGATATTTCATTTGGTCTCTACGCAGACCGTTTGTGAATTGACGAACAGTGCACTTTAGTCAATTACACGGATGGCATTCCTACTAGCAGGGTATGCTCTACATTGTAGGCCGCCCACTTATTCAAATTAGACAGGAAAGCCGCAAGTTAATGTCACGCAACAGCTAAACCCATACAAGCGCACCAGGACTCAAACTGAGGCGCGACAGATATGTTAAGGCCACTAAGTGTTACGGTTCTGTCACGCAGCGAGCAAACAATATGATAATGCGGATTGTGGCAATACTCTATCCCCAGCTATGTTGCTTGATTCAGACTCCGTAAGTACTTTGATGAGTTGCAGTTGTTGCTCAAGCATTACTTTGAGTTGTTCTGCGTGACAGATTCTTGAGGCCACTAGGTCTAATGCCGACCTAAAACTGTCAGTTTGCGATGATTGTTAGGTCTCGGTGCAGCAACGATCCTGCAGACTAGAGTGGCTAAAATTAAGTTCTGAAAGACCTAGATATGCCAGGAAGTTGTGTCTCGGGTTCCCATTCAGAGAGGCGGCAGTTGTCAACCCGACTATGTTTACCGGTCAATGTGTTCAAACTTCGTTGCCAGGCCATACACCGTTCACCTCTCGGTCGCTTCCACTGAGCAAAAGGCTGGACGAGATGAGCTCTGCGAGGTAGACGGTCCTTTGGCGTATGGAGTACATTTACTAACCAGTGTAACCTACTAAACGTAACTCACATATCATGGGGAAGTAACTGCCCACCAAACCCCACCAATACTTTAGAGGCACTGATGGCCAAACATTGACAATTTTCTATGTTCAAGCCACGTTTCTGATCCATAAAACATGGACCGCACTACAGTGCTGTTAGTTGTACCCTTGACAGGTGAACTGACGTCACTTCGACACCATAGGTTTCTGAGTTTGAAAGTAATCTCATCTCCAGCCAGTCCACTGAAATGTATGCAACTTATCTACCACGTCGACTGGCTCGTCTACAAACACAAGTTTGGGTTTGTAACAGTAATTTTTCTTTTGCAGGTGTGAAGTATATGCCCAACCTTGTCTCAGGATTACTTCGGTAACTTGGGATGGTTTGAATTTCTGAAGGATCTGAATCAAGGAGAACAATATCTTCCACGTACCCAACATCTGAGGGAACATCCCGGGCGCACTTCGACCCCACGTCCATCTAAAATGAGTCCCTCTAATTCATTTACCTGTCGACAACTTAAGCGTTGATCTGCATCTCAACTCCTACCCAGTTAAATAAAACAAAATAAATCCTAGACCTAATACACTACTCATAAAGTCGCTGAAAATTCTTTTGACAGCCCACGACCGGTTTCAGCCTTCTTGGGACTCATCAGGTAGGCGCAGTCCCCGAGTTTCTGTCAACCTTATGTTCTACTTGAAACCAAATTGCACGAATTTAGCGAAATATACTCATTTGCAAACAAATTTAGTTTTGCGGGAGACTCACCTGGAACCCAGCTGAATCTCTTGTTTATGCTGTTTCTAAGCGGCATGGTGCAGAACATTCAGTTGCTTAGAAACATCATAAACGAGAGATTTAACTGAGTTCCAGGTGAGTCGCCCAAAAAACTAAACTTGTTCGCAGAACTTTGCACTTTTCAGGTGCGAAGCGTATGCTGAGATATGAGGCAGATATCCAGACATCTGTAAAGGCCCCAGATCTTCCGACCACGGAAGCGAGGTATCGCATCCGTAGGGCATGGTCCTTACTGTATCGCGATGGGCGCGGCCTCTGGGATCCAGTTATATGCCTTTTTGACGCCACAAGTAGTGTCAGTTGACAAACCTTATTCGACGCTTTCTGATTTATCCAGTGGTTTCATCAGGCACACTTCTTTCCTGCTGCGACGTAGAACACCTCTTCCTTTCTTGAAATGAGAGCGCCACACTCTGAAGTGCAGCACTGGAATTAATAGGTGCAAAGCGCACGTCGAATGATGGTACACTACCGGTTATTTCAATTGATAGGCTGTACGTATACCGTCTTCGCGGTGGATGATGCATCCTGAGTACTCCGGGTCAACAAGGTTATCACTAGCAAAAAATTGAACTCCCAGCGTTTTATCGACGAAGCTGAAAAGCAGGCACCACTATATGGAGAAAGACATTAGGAAAGCTCTCCGTGCACTGTCACGCGCCAGGATAAAGAGTGGACTATGTTCACGAACTTGAGGGATCCCATTGAGACCAGCGCCGTTAGGAAAACTGATCTAACGGCCGGGAGTCGAAGACTTTGCTGGATCAATGCACTCTTCCTACGACTAACTCTTCAGAAAGTCTTAGTGGAATTTCAACCAGGACACCACTGATTTCCCCAAAGACTTCAAACCTTTCTAAGAACCGCCTAGTCAATAGTTACATCCTGAGGCTGTTCTGATGGACTGTAATAGTGATCAAGTACTTGACTCTGATGATTCAGTAAAGCTCCATTGGAGAGAAAGATTCTGAAAAATGACAAAGGCAAATGTGAACGAAATTAAGATGCCGATATTCCGTGCCGGCGTTGTTGTTAATGAAAAATGTCAATCTGTATAAAACACCTCAGATATGTGTACCTCATTAGTGTTGACATACAAGTTATTTGGTAGTAAAAAACGTCGGAAAATAGAAATAAAGACACAATACTTTTATTCTTTATAACCCGCAACCTTATTCTTCGCTTTCAGAGAATGCAACTAGACAATTGTAATGAAGCAGCTGGTGATCAAGAGCACATGACCAGTAACGCCACCGACTGACTCGGTGTATGAACGTGCCTAAAGGAAGATGACGAGAGCTACTGACAACTAACAATCTTCAAGCGTCAGATCAAAATTGAGTGGGAACCATCACACCAACACTTCTATTTTGACTGTCTTTCGCCACCACATCTTGTGATATTGTGATTCCCATGATGCATTTGTGTGAAGATACTTAAGTAAAACCCTATTTCTGTATATCAGCTGACTACCAAACTAGTGATATACTCACAGTCGGGTTTATGTATATAACCACGATTCTCGGCCTATATTTTGTACTTCTATATATCCAGAAAAATTCGTTCGTCGCACACAGAGGAATAAAAATTGAAACAATATCATAGACCTTGTCACCCAGAATAAACAAAAAAAAACCATATTCACCAGTGCACACAACTAAAGCTCTAACAACGTAACACATCGGTAGCTCATGAATGCAAGTAACGCAAAAACCGAATTCATGTATTCTTAACGTGAAAGCTACTTTCGATGGTGGCAACGTCAGTGCTTCACTGCCATATAAAAAAACCTCATTTGACATCAGATGCATCTGAATACTTCCCGAACGCCACTGAGCTTGTTGTCCAAACGTTCTCCATCACCTCCGCTCAAGGGTACTATTATACCCCCCATCTACTGTTCCTTTGGGATCTCGTAAAGCATTATTACAAAGGGGAAGTTACGTCGGTTCGCCTGGTGCAGAAATCTGTTTCTTGGTTCGGAAATTGGTTCTGAAAACAAGCAGCTCATATTTTTAGGATGCACACGTATTTTGTAGGGGACCTCTGCTTTTCCTTCCCCAAACGTGAGTGACGGAAAGGATGACTCTGTAAACTTCTATCAACAGTTGCAGCATCTGTGACCAGGCTGATTGAACCGACTTTGTGTCCGCCTTAGCTATATGCAGTCTCAGTTCTTGATGTCTATTACATAGCCGCCGCTTTGAAACCATTCACATGGAGATAGTTCGGTGGTCAAAGTAAAAATTTACTGTCCGGAAGGACCGTAGTTCAAACCCGAACAAGATATCGCGACTACCCCTGTCTAGGCATGAACAACTCGGCAGTGCTTCTTCCGGGTGACGCGGTACCTGTGTACCGAAGGGGTGTTGCAGCAGAACAGCTTTTTACAATAAAAGTCCATAGCTTCCGTCTTGGATCGTATGATCATGCAAAGCATACCCGTCACCAGCATTTGCATCATCAGCTTCGTACGAATCATGCTGCTGTAAAACGGGCAGGAACAATCACAACGATATCGGATAGAATGCACAGCTGACTGACTGCACTACATCTCATTCGGCTGGCCTGCCAGATTGTGTTCCTCAATTTAAGTAAACAAATCTCAAACCATATTTCACCAAAGTACTGCCTCAAACAGCAGATGTTACATACCGAATAACAACGGTCGTGGCCACCAGCTGGCATTCGTCTAGAGCCCACAGGTGAAGTAGAACCCTAGACGGTGAGCGTGGAACCACCTACGGCCTCGGAGGTTTACGACTGCATATGTTCTCTCAAGCGCCACCGAGCTCCTGGTCCGGATGACCTCCCACCCACATTGTTCAAAGTCGGGGGTGGGGGCAGTGAAGTCCTCACTCAGCGCTTGTCTGATCGGTTGGCTTGCATTTGGGAAAATGAGACCGTCCCAGACAACTGGGGACAATCGGTGATAGTGCCCATTTTCAAAAAAGGGGCTCGTAGTGAGTGATCCCGAAACTGTTGGCATAAATTATGCTTCGTCGCCTTACTGTGGCTCGTGAGACACTAACTCGAGAGCAGCAAGTGGGATTCCGGTCTGATAGGGGTTGTGTTGACTAAATCTTCACGCTCCTTCAGCTGCTAGAACAACGCCGTACGTACAAGCGACCCACAATTCTAGTATTCCTGAATTTCCAAGGCGCATTTAACGCCGTTGACCGGTCTGTTCTGCTTGACACGCCTGCCTATCAAGGAATGCACCGGAAGTTTGTAAACCTAATACGTTCTTTGTATTCTCAGACTTCCGGACGTGTGAGAGTGTACGGAGAGCTCTCCAAAAGCTTCCGCAC